GAAGACCCAATAAAATCCAAACCTTTGCCCTAATCTACAAGCCGTCCTTGCCCTCTCTGGCCTCATCTTCTGATGTTTGCGCTCCCTTACTACATCCCAGCTACCCAGGGCTCCTCTCTAGTGTATCTCACAAATACCGAGTGCTTTCCGGCCTCAGGACGTTTGCACTTGCTGACCCATTGCCTGGCCTACCCTCCCGTATCTTTTTGGGTGGCTGGCTTCTGTATGTCCTTCAGGTCTCAGCTCAACCATCCCTCCTTGAAGACATCGCCCTGCTCCTTGCTAAGGTGTACCTCACACAACCCGTCACCCCATCCCCCTTTCTCACCACATTGTTTACTTCCTACATTACATTTAACACTATTATATTAATTTGTTTATTTATGACCTTACACCACTCCTACCCCCATATATTATAAACTCCAAAAGGACAGAAACCTTGTCTTGCTTTTTAATACCCAGCTCAATGCTTGATATATAGCAGGTTCTCAATAAATATTTCTTGAATTAACAAATAAAATTAGCTTTCTACCTGCCTATACCAGACCTGAGTCTTGCTTGTCACTGGGGTGGAGGCCTCCCTGCTGGCAGACATGGGGGTTGTGTTCCAGATCTTGTTACTTAACACTCCTGGAGGGCCTCTCCCCTCCTTTCCTTTCCAATCAATCATTTCCCTCCACGCCCCCGGGGTATGTATAGTACATTATGATGTGCATATTATATACACAGCATATATAGTATATTCTTAACTGCATAACCAAAATGACTTTGAACTTCTAAACTTTTGAAAGTTTTCATATAAAAAAGTTCCCAACACAATAATACTGAGTAAAGAAGTTAGACACAAAAGAATACATACTATGTGATTCTGTTCATTTGAAATTTAAAACCAGACCACCGTAACCTATGATAACATGAGTCATGATAGTGGCTATTCTTGTTAGAGCTTCTGACTGAGGGGCAGCATGAGAGGAGCTCCTCAGTCCTAGAAATGTGTTCTGTATCTTGACCTTGAGAGTGAGTATCCATATAAAGTGTATATCTGGTGTGTGGTTAAGATTTGTGCACTTTTTAGAAGTTAAAACAATTAAAACATCTAAATAAGTAAATGAAAATATCTTTTAAAAAGAGAGAGAGATTCAGGAGGATTGTGTCAGAGCACAGCCCATTCCCGTTTGGGGTCTGCCTGGTGTGAATGGATGCCCAGTCTCTCTGTCTCTGCCCCTTCCCCTTGCCTGGCCAAAGCAAGCACCTGATTGTTACAGTTATCAGAGCCGGCCCAGCAGAGGCTGCCTCCCCAGTCCCGTGATGCAGCCCAGTTTCCACCTGATTCTGGGTGACCTTGAGGACATGGGGGTGTTGCTGGGAAAGAGGAGGTGGAAAGGGGCAGAGACTTGGTGGTAGAGCAGGCTCCAGCTGCAGCCCTCAGGTCTCCACTCCTGCTGTCCCATCCTGGGGAGAAGAGGCCAAGCCAGTTGGGTCAGTGATGCTGGTTTGAGGGTGAGAAGCCAGGCAGTTCCGTGCAGGGGCTCTTCTTGGGTTTGGTGCTTCTCTCTTAGAGCTGATCAGTTTTTATAGAACGGGGTGGGAGATTAAGATATAGCTCTCCTCAGTCTCCGATTCCTCGAAAGAGTGTTCTCAGACAAAACTCTCTGCTTTAGAATGACCTAGGAGTGTCTATTGTAAATATAGATGTCTGGGTCTCACTGGAGATGTGTGAAGGGGTGATTCAGGAATCTCTATTACTGTTTCCAGCAGTGGCTCGCCAGTTTGAACACTGATCTAGAAAGTGGGGAGGACCTTTGCTTGTTTTTGCTGTACAGTTCTAGTTCTAGGTCAGGACCCCTGCTGTGGCTGGAGTTTCCATTACTTGTGTCACTCCAAATGACCCTGCATATGGCACGTTTCATGTTTACCTCCAAATCTGAGTAAAAAATGTAGAATCATATATCTCTAAGTGACCATATTTTTTCATTTAAGCCCTTTGTTTTAAAGATGGGAGAGGACTCAAGGTCATAAGGACTGGAATCCAGGACTGGAGTCTATAAGGCCCTCTTAATTTCCAGCGGTCCTTTCTAGGGATTTGGAGGCAGAGGGACGGGAGGGAGGTGGCTCAGGAAGGCCCCCTGTGTTCCAGCCCGTACTGTGGATGGCGTGGCGGATGTGCGTGCAAGAGCTGGAGGATCGCCTTCAATGCCCCATCTGCCTCGAGGTCTTCAAGGAGCCCCTAATGCTGCAGTGCGGCCACTCCTACTGCAAAGGCTGCCTGGTGTCCCTGTCTCGCCACCTGGACTACGAGCTGCTGCGCTGCCCCGTGTGCCGGCAGGAGGTAGATGGCAGCAGCTCCCCGCCCAACGTCTCCCTGGCGCGGGTGATCGAAGCCCTGCGGCTCCCCGCGGATCCAGAGCCCAAAGTCTGCGCGCAGCACCGGAACCCACTCAGCCTCTTCTGCGAGAAGGACCAGGAGCTCATCTGCGGCCTCTGCGGCCTGTTGGGCTCCCACCAGCACCACCGGGTCACGCCCGTCTCCACTGTCTACAGCCGTATGAAGGTGGGCAGGAAGGCTGCTGGGGGATGGGGAGCCGGGCCACCCTGGGGACTCGGGGAGCCCAGCGCTTGCACTCTCTGGCGCCATCGCTCCGCACAGAAGGGTCCCGAGCCAGGACTCGAGTTCCCTCCAGCCCTGTCCTGGAGCAGAACTCCAGAGCATTTCTTCATTCATCACGTTCTGAGCAGGTGCTGGGGATTATAGCTGTAAGAGTGGTGGAGGACCCCCTGCGTCACGTGCTAGCCCTTTCTCTGCTTTATTTTTCTTTGCAGCCCTCGTTTCTTGAGCCCTCTTGGTACCGCACTCTCAGACACGAGGTCAGGGACTTTGTTCCCTAGGGTATTTCTGTGCCTGGCACATTGTAAATGCTCAAAATATATTTGTGGTATCAATAGATTCCTGCTCTCCTGGACCTTTGCCTCGGATCTAGCAGATCATCATGTAAGATAAATAATAACAGTAACAGTGATACCATCTTAGGTTAGTACATTGATCTAAGCTTTATGAAGGGTGGGGTTGTTATTACAGTTTACAAATGAGGAAAGTGAGGCTCAGAGAATGTAAGGGTCTTACCCAAAGTCAGACAGCTTGTCAGTGGCAGAGCGAGGACTCAAAGCAAGACCAGTTTTCTTTCTACTGTCAGCAGATCAGGAAAGGGCAGGAAGGGTTATAGGGACCTGGTCTGGTGTTTGAGGGGAATGGGGCTTAAAGGCGAGGAATGACAAAATACAGATGAGGGCACCAGGAAAAGGAAGAGTACCCAGAGCTTCAGGCAGAGGGGCCCCTGTAAGCTGGTCCAGTGGTTTCCTACCTGAGTGCTCTGGGCAGCATTTCTTTGCTCCTTCAACCCTAGGGGACAAGTAGGACACGTGCACAGGGCCAGCCACGTCGTCCACCAGCGCCTCCTACCCACAAACGTTACTGGGCATCTAATCTGTGCTGGGCGCTGTGCTAGTGCTCATGGTACAGTAGTGGGCAAGAGGTTCACCTGCCCTGGGGGATCTCACAGCCTGGGGGTCTGACAGAGTCTCATGTGTTGGGTGCAAAATGAAATACAGGCAATGGTGAGACTACCTGGAATATGCTCCTGCATGGTCTCAGGTGGTCAGGGGAGGCTTCCTGGAGGAAGTGGACTAAGTCAAGACTTGAACCACAAGGAGGACTTGATAGGAAAAGAAGGGAGGAAAAGCATTCCAAGTATAAAGACAGCACATGCAAAAGACTAGGAGACAAACAGCATGGCACATTTGAGGATTTATAAGTCATTTCATTAAGCTCAAGGGATAATAAGATGGGAGCAAGATGGGGTAAGTGCAGTAAGAAGGGGCTGGGTCATGGAAAGGCCTGTGTGACACATGATGGGGTTTGTAGTTTATTCAAAGAACCATGGTGGGGGGGGGGGAGGACTGGAGGGTTTTAAGCAGGGTTGTGGTGTAGTACGATCCCTCTGCTGGAGAGTGAGGCTGGGGATAAGAAGCTGGGCGTCATCTGCATACGGGTGGTAACTGAAGCCACAGGAGTGGAACAGGCCCACCAGGAGAGCCAACAGAGTGATAAGGAAAGACACTGATAATGCCCCAGGAGCACCAGGGTTTACGATTTGGGTAGAGAGAGGAATCCAAAAAGGGGACAGAAAGAAGCAACAAAGGGAACAGGAACACTGGCTGCATATGGCCTCCTGGAAATCAGAGCATTTTTTTTAAAAAAGATTTTATTGGGGAATTGGGGGAGGGGAACAGCGTTGGGGAATCAAGGAAGGGGGACAGACAGGTAGACAAATTGCTGTTTTGTTCTTCAGTCTAGTTGTGGAGGACGTGGCTTCACTGGCCCATGTTGGTATGATCATTGGTGCTCTTCCAGGGTGAGGCAATCAGTCGCTGGTCATTGGTCGGCCGCTCACTGCGGCTCACAGCAGCTCTCGCCAGCTGCCAGCCACTCATGTAGCTGATGGCACCGCTGCAGCTTACGATGTTGCCGGTGACTCACAGCAGCCCAGCTCCAGGTCGAGCTGTTGTTCACCATTTTAGCTGTAGAGGGCGCAGCGTCACTGACCCTTAATGTGGGACCCGAACCGCAGCCCTGCTGCTCAGAGCTGGTGCTCCCAAGCGAGCTCTTAACCAACTGAGCTACTCGGCCGGCCCAAAATCAGAGCATTTTAATGAGAGCAAGCTAACGTGTGAAATGTTTGCTGAGTATTGAAATGAGTCTGTCAACTTTAGCAGTAAGAATCGATTACTTTGGCAAGAGTAGTTTTAGGGGAGTATGGAAGGAGGAAGCCCAATTGCAGTATAATGAAATTACACCTGCATTTTATTGGCAGACAACTTCCTGGGAGAAAAGGAAACACTTTGGAGCCTGATCGTTATTTCTGACTAGGAGCTGGGAGCCCAGCTTGGGTCTTGGTTTTGTTTTGTTTTTAAAGATTTTTTATTGGGGAATTGGTGGATGGGGAACAGACAAGTTGCTGTTGTTTTTTTTCTTCAGTCTAGTTGTGGAGGACATTGCTTCACTGGCCCAAGTTGGCACCATCATTGCGCTCTTCCCGGGAGAGGCAGATCAGTCGCCGGGCAGTGTCACTGGCCCTCATATGTGGGATCTGAACCGGGGCCCTCTGGCGTCCCAAGCCAGTTCTTAACCATCGCGCCACTCGGCCGGCCCGGGTCTTGGTTTTTGAATGTGGGTTTTCAGTGTGATGTGACTAAGTTACGTTCCTTTATCAGATATTGATTGAGACCTTGTGATACTTTATTTTCATAATTCTGTTCCCTGTCACTATAGCCCACTTGCTGCGAAAAAACTAGCCCCATCCCTTTCTACCTTGGGAGGATTACCGTTGGAATGCCTTTCTTGGACCGCTGTGACATCTGATGCCTCCTTATCCAGAGCAAGGACTTTGTGTCCATTTATCCCCATGCTGGCTTTATTCTTTACCCAGCATCCTTCCCAAAAGGCTCTTGCAGCTGACTTCTGCTTGGAAACTATCTAAGCCAGAGTCTGTACACTCCACAGGTATAAACCAGCAGGACCCTGGTCATGTAGGGCAGCCAGATGGTGGCCTAAGTGATCCTGCTTGGACCCTAAGGCTAGGGCAGATTTGGAGCCAGGGCAGCCCAGGAGAAGTGAGTTTACTTCATCCTTGAGGGGACCCAAATCTAGGCTGGGCCCAAGTCTGCCAGGGATGGATTCAGATCTACATAGGGTGTGGGGACTCACCAGATATAACCTGGGCTACCACATGCACTAGGGGACATCCTTTTTGTGATGACTCTTGATCAAATGCCCACTAATTCTGGATCTCCTGGTGACTGGAGAGTTTGGGCATCATTTTATGCAGGGAGTATTGGCTTCAGACTGGCAATCCCCTCTCTTGGATGTTGTATGGTGACTTTCAGGTGGCTGTCATAACATGTCTTGGAAAGGGATGACATGAAGATCCTCTTCTGCCTTGGCAGTTCCTACCACCAATGTGAAATATTCTTGAAAAATCTTAACTATTTTGAGGTCAAGGGCACCTGGGTAGTTCTGGTCCCTATCCTGTTCCACTGGGAGTGCTAGGGGCCATTGGGATGCTCCCTAAAAGGGCGAGACCCACGACTGACCCCAGGGAGCTGAGAGGGTGAAGGGGTCGGGCATTAACGGGGCCATGGCACGTTGCCCCCAGGAGGATCTCGCGGGCCTCATCTCTGACCTGCAGCAGGAGCAGAAGAAGGTGGATGAGCACATTGCCAAGCTGGTGAACAACAGGACCCGGATTGTCGTGAGTGCCCTTTCCCTCTGTCTCTGCCCTGGCATTGGCTACCTTCCCTTTCCTGCAGAGCCCAGTTCTAATTTGTCCTTTATATGAATCCATGCCTTCCATACAAAGCCAGAATTCAAAGCATTCCAGGGCAGGGTGGGGAAGGTGCAAATCCTTTCAGGGGAATTCAACCCAGTTGTCAGGACTGTCTCCAAGTTGGCTTGTGTCCCCATGTCCTTGGGACTGAGATAACCCAGAACCTAAGCCCCAGAGGTAAACAGCTCAAAGCGAGGGCATGACTTGCCCGCCTCCTGCCTTCTGTGGCAACTTGACCTTGGCAGTCTGTGTGGTGCCTGCTCAGTATCCCACAGGCCTGGGAAGGCCAGATCCCTCCTTGGCTGTCTGCTTTTCCTCAGTGAGAGGCACACTGGGGCTGGGAGGATGTGGAGCCCGGGCCCTGCAGATGGTTGTGAAGTGGGAGCGGGAGCCCAGTATCCCTAAGCACCCCTCACCCTTAAGAGGAAGGCAGCATTACCCTGCCCGATGGAGACAGAACTCGGGATCACATAGGAATCCTGGCTATCGCACCCCAAAGCCCGCTCTCTCGGGACCTTTCAGACTTTTTTCAGTTGTGGAACCCTGTGATAAAGCAAAATCTTACTTGCACACTTAAGGTTAAGACAGGGGAAAGCAGAGCCGCATGCTCTGAAATGGGAACTGGGGCCCAGCCTCCGCCCTCCACGGTTGCCCACCCCCATGGCCCCAGGCACAGTGTGAACACCTGGGCTGGAGCCTTGGAACTCAGGTACCACCAGGACCAGCCCAGTCAGGAAGGCCCAAGCTGCTAGGCTGTGGGGACACGGAGATCAGTCATCGCCAAGTGGCTCCGCTGTGGCTCCTGCCATGACAGGCCCTCCTTGTCTCAGAATGAGTCCGACGTCTTCAGCTGGGTGATCCGCCATGAGTTCCAGGAGCTGCACCACCTGGTAGACGAGGAGAAGGCCCGCTGCCTGGAGGGGCTGGAGGGGCACACCCGCGGCCTCATGGCCTCCCTGGACATGCAGGTGGAGCAGGCCCGGGGCACGCGGGAGCGGCTGGTCCAAGCTGAGCATGTGCTGGAGCAGTTTGGTAATGAGAGTCACTACGAGTTTATCCGGGTGAGTGGATAAGGGAGTGTCTCCCATGGCAAGGCCCCCAGGGTCCCAGGAGCCCCCCCTTCCTACTGGCTTCTGCACAGCCTCTGCCATGCCCTAATCCACCTCTCTCTTGTCTTCCAGAAGTACCACTCCATGGCCTCCAGGTAATCACCTGGGAGAGACCTCTCAGCACGGGTCTGGCGGCTGCGGGCACAGCTGTCTCCTCTCCACTGGTTCCTCCCGTCAGTTTCACCAGTGCCTCGGGAGCAGCTGCCCACATTTGGCTCTGTACTGGGCCCAGGGAACACAGAGATGAGGTCATGTCCCTGCCTTCAGGGGTCACAGACTGGTGGGGGGCGGACAGTGAACTAGATTTACGTCACTGTGGGTACTTAGCACAACAGAAGTTCACACAAGCTACAGAAATAACACAGAGGAATGGGGACTGTAGGAGGGAGATTGGCAAAGGCAGTATATGGGCGGGATAGCTGAGAAGGGAGAGGATGGGTTTGCCAGGCAAGCAGGGTCACGTGAAAGGGCAAAGGAGTGTGTGGATAGCCACCGCTGCAAACTCTTGCCCCCAGAACTGAGCTCCAGCAGGCCCGGCCCTTGGAAGGCGTGTTCAGTCCCATCTCCTTCAAACCAGGCCTCCACCAGGCCGACATCAAGCTGACCGTATGGAAAAGGCTCTTCCGCAAGGTTCTACCAGGTGAGGCCCCAACGCCTCCTCTTTCCTGAGGGCTGCCAGCATTAAGGTGCAGAGAACTGGAAGGGAGGCCCTCATAGGCTAGTGGTGACAGCACAGGAGTGGGGTTCCACCAAACAGCTTGGGTTCAAGCTCAGCTCCATTTCCTACTAACCAGGGTTAGTTGTATAATTTCTGAGCCTCAGTTTCCTCATCTGTAAAGAGGGGCTATGAACATCTACCTTGCTAGGCTACAGATTTATAGATATACATACATGTATGTATGTGTGTGTGCAGATACTTTAGTGCTTATAAATGTAGCTATTGGTCTGTCAAATAAGTAACTCAAAGACATTTAATTAACTCCTTCATTACTGGCACATAAGGGAGATCAATCAATAGACTGAGTTCATCCAACAAAGACAAAAACAGCGTTTATATGAGAAAAAGGGGGAGAGAAAAAACCACAGATAATCTCTGAATCGTGAATGTTGTTTGCACATTTTGGGTATAAACTGTTTAGCTAGAAGCTAGCAAAGAGCCAGTTGGTATGTTTGTCCTTGAATAGGCTACTAGGGTATCAAAGAAAACAACTGTGGTTGTTATGAATTTTCCAGAGAACCTGGGGAGTTTAGCTGTGGAGCACAGGCTTTCTTCCAGGACCTTCCATCACACCTCTGCCTTAGGCAGGCCTGCACTATGTCCCTTACGAGGCCTTGCTAGCAGCTGTTTGTTTTTCCCACCCTTCAGGCATCATTCATTTCTTCAGCAAACATCTTTATGGTCTCTACTCTGTGCCTGGCCCCTTCTAGGCCCTGCAGATCCAGAGATGAGGACAATATATTATAGTTCCTCTCCTGAGGAGCTCAGGGCCTCCCATCGGCCTCCTGTGGGGCAGGGTCTGTTGCAGTCTGTGTGGCTTGAAAACATGTCTTCTCTGCTCTTTCCTAGCTCCAGAGCCTCTCAAGCTGGACCCCGCCACTGCCCACCCCCTCCTTGAGCTCTCCAAGGGCAACACGGTGGTGCAGTGCGGGCTCCTGGCCCAACGATGTGCCAGCCAGCCTGAGCGCTTCGACTATAGCACTTGTGTCCTGGCCAGCCGGGGCTTCTCCTGTGGCCGCCACTACTGGGAGGTGGTGGTGGGCAGCAAGAGCGACTGGCGCCTGGGGGTCATCAAGGGCACAGCCAGTCGCAAGGGCAAGCTGAACAAGTCCCCAGAGCATGGCGTGTGGCTCATCGGCCTGAAGGAGGGCCGGGTGTACGAGGCCTTTGGCTGCCCAAGGGTGCCCCTGCCTGTGGCTGGCCACCCCCACCGCATTGGTGTCTATTTGCACTACGAGCAGGGAGAGCTCACCTTCTTTGATGCTGACCGCCCGGATGACCTACGGCCACTCTACACATTCCAGGCTGACTTCCAGGGCAAGCTCTACCCCATCCTGGACACATGCTGGCACGAAAGGGGCAGCAACTCACTGCCCATGGTGCTGCCCCCACCCAGCGGGCCTGGCCACCTCACCCCCCCACAGCCCACCAAGCTGTAGGGGTACTCATGGGGCGGCCTGCCCACAGGGCTTCCCCACTGGGCATAGGCATTTGAGGGGTTCTGCTGGGTCCAGCAAGCAGAGGTGACGTCTTTACTGTTTAGAAAGGTCTTCATGCCTGTGTGTCCCTAGAAACCCTAGAAACATTTAAAGACGGGGAGAAAAAGACCACAGTCCCTTTCTTCCCTGTTAGCCAGGGGTATGTTTTTTAACCTATTGTCAAGTTATTAACCTGCTTCTTAACCAGCAGAGCTAGGCCTCAGTGTCCATGGGTCAAACTGGGCTTCCCTTAGTCCCTCCTGACCATGCTCTCTGCTTACTCTTCCAACTGACGGTGGAAATGTTCCTCATGTAATTTTCCCTTATCATTGTGAACTTACAGTTAACTTTGACAATAAATTTGACATTATTTCTTTCTAAGTGATCTGCAAATATTAATTGCTGTACATACACACAGCTTTATGCTTGGGTCTTTAAAAGAAGCTCTAACCTCTGGTGGGGCCAGAGCTTGCTTCTACCCACTGCCCACGGTCTATGGTTAGCGTCACATCGACCACTCTGTCTCTGTTCTGTCCTTAAAGACCTCTCTTGATTTCCCTGCCCATAGATGAGACAGAAATGACACTATGTCAAAGCAGAATCAAGTAGGGGCCTGACAGGGATGCAGCCTGTCCCTGAAAGCTGCCAGGCACATGGGGATAGGCCCAGAGCCCATGTCTATTCACTGGCCACAGCTGATGGTGTCCACACCAGACCAAGGTAGGGGCAGCCGAATTCTCTCCCAAGAATCTGAAAATTGGAAGAGAGAGAATGGTCGAGGCCAAGTCACCTGAGACCTGGTGCTTTAGAGAGAAGCTCTCCAGCTTTGTGCCACTGAGGTCTGTGGAGTCGCCTAAGAGCCTTCCATGGGGCAGAGCTCTGCCTTGGTGCCCTGGCACATATCCACATGGGCCACGCGGGCAACGGCTTGACCCACAGCCTATCTGAGGAATGAGAGAGGATGGGATGCTTATGAGGTGCTACCTCAAGGCCATGTCCACTCACCTACTTATCCCATGGGAGACTGTCAGGCTTTCCGCCCCACCTTCCTTTGAGTAGAGCTGCTGACTATAAATCAACTTAGCTGAGTCTAGAACTGGCTCCTCAGCAAAGAAATATCCCACAACTTGTGCTGCAGTCATCAGCTCTTTGGTTTCCATGTCATCCTTTTTGGTGTGAGCAACAATGACCGCGTGGAGCTGGCACCTTTGGCTAACCTTCCTGCTGCAGTCTATGTAAGTAAACTCAGAAGCAAATGGAGTATGTTGTATCTTTACCAGCTGAATCTGTTGGGCCTTGGCCCTGTTCGCTGTGTGGTTGACACCTTTCAGACCTGGTTTTTTGGTTATGCAGCTCTTCCTTCAATCTTAGGACTGGGGCCGAAGAGTGTCGCCCCTCTATATATCCACTCTCCACCCTTCTGCGTCCTGCTCTGTGTCCTGGGAGGCTGGCCACCACAGAATGCAAAACCCTCTGGCTTCCTGTTGGGCTCAGCTGATGGGAGGGACTGGCAGGAGACCTGAGGGCAGGAGAGAGAGTTTGAGGTATTTGTTTTCCTGGCTTCCTACCTGCTGGGCTATGGGTTAGCAGCTTCCCAGTACTAGCCTCCTGGCTGGTGGTCCTGGCCTCCTTCCCTTGTTCCTCAGGCCTGGTGGCAAACAGTGCTGTTGCTAGCCCTGAGTACTGCACTGTCTCCCGTAAGTTCCCTTAACTCTGACCAGTCCCTTTTAAAAACTGTCATCAACTACTCTTTTGTGTCCACCTTTCTGCCTCCAGCTAGACCCTGACAGACACCGTGGCATTCCTCTGCACCCATTTAATAAGTCCCCTCTTTTGTTTGGCTAGCCAGTTCGTGTTTGTGCTTGCAACCAAAAGATCTTAACTAGTACACATCCAATATGGAGAAGGCAGAGGGAAGAGCAGTTAATTCTTCATGTGGAGTTAGCATTTAAGCAGAAAGAAGTGGAGTACCAGCCGAGGAGACAAGCCTTAGGGGGTCTAAGTCCACAGAGGGGTGCTGCAGCTGGAGCTGGACCTGGGGGGGGGGGTTGGTCCAGGGAGGGCCATGGGTGCTACTTTAGTGCATATTAACTTTGTTCTGTAGTAATGACAGTGTGGGAGTGGGTGAACATGCCCAGGAGGAAAATATCAGACTGATGGGAAGGAGGCCAGAAGACAGAACACCAGACCCTAAGGAGCAGCTTCCACAAGGCTGCTGAGGAATTTAGAAACGGTCAGAGAAATGGGAGGTTATGCCAACAGGGAGCGGTCACGGAAGCCAAAGCTTTACAACAAAGGTGTGCTCAGCAGTGCCAAAGATTCAGCAGGAAAGACCTGAGCAATATTAAGAGATTCTTGGTGGTCTTGGAGGGAGTAACTTCAGTGGAGTGGGTGGAAGACAGATTGCAGGGAGTTAAATAACAGCATGTGATGAAGGAGTAAAGGCAGTGACTGCTGGTTCTCATTTTTTTTTTAATTGGGGAATTGGGGGAGGAGAACAGCCAAGTTGTCCTTCAATCTTAGTTGTGGAGGGCGCAGCTAGCTCAGCTCCAAGTCCAGTCACCATCTAGCCGCCCACGGGGAGCTCGCAGCCACTCAGCTCAAGGTGCTGTGTTCAATCTTAGTTGCAGAGCCACCTGCCCATGTGGGAGTCGAACCAGCAGCTTCGTTGTTAAGAGCGCATGCTGTATCCACTGAGCCATCCAGGTGGCAGCTCAGCTCAAGGTGCCGAGTTCGGTCTTAGTTACGGGTGGGCATAGCCCACCATCCAATGCAGGAGTCGAACTGGCAACCTTGTTGTTAGGAGCACGTGCTCTCACCAGCTGAGCCATCCTGCCACCTGTTGGCAGCACAGCAGCAGCTCAGCTCAGGCACAGCTCACTTACCCATGTGGGAATCAAACCAGTGACCCAGTTGCTCAGAGCTCGCACTCTTAAGCAAGCTCTTAACCAACTGAGCCACTTGGCCGGCCCTGGTTCTCATTTTTAAAAGTTATTCTGAAAGGAAGAAGAAAATTGGGTCATGAGTTTGAGAGGAGGTGGGATTAAAAGAAGGCATTTTTAGGATAGAGATGCTAAAACAGTGCTGTCCAACAGAAATATATGAGCAAAACAAGTTTAAATTTTCTGGCAATTTTTAAATTAAGAAATTAAAGGAAACAGGTCGCCTTGTGCCCAGATCTTGGTTTCTAATACCATCCTCTAATAAAAGGAAGTAGGGCTCATTGGAGAAATGACTGATTCTAGGACTAGAACAGGAAACACACAAGATGAGCTTCGAGTATCCTGTAGTGCCAGTGCACAAGAAGTGCTCAAAAAGAAACAAACATGGAAAAAACCTACAATAGTAGCCTGTCAAAGGGACATAGGGACCAACTGAAAGCACTCCAAGTGGCCAAAACAGGAACAATTTGAGCAAAAAAATAAAGTAGTACCCAAAGTATAAAATCAATATCCATGAATCCATATTGATATCTATAAATGACTAATTAAATAAGTAGGGTAGAAGAGACAAATCTGTGCAGAATTCCAAATAACTTATGTAGCTATTCCAACCTCAACAAAGGGGACCATAACCCGACACTCCTGAAGTGTGAGCTGTGCATAGTGACTTCTTTCCAGGGAGACAATGGGATAAAGTAGCTTTACAGTAGAGAAACTTGACTACCTCAATTAGGTGATCAAGGTTAACATCGACAGTGATGTCATGTTGACTCTCTGTGCCCTTGATATATTGAAAATGGCACTTTACCTGTGGTCTTTCTCCCCAAAACCCATACTGCTAGTCTAATCCTGAGAAAAACATCAGACAAATTCCAATAGAAGGACATTCTTTTGGAACACTAGAATGGACACTAACCAGGACTCCTCAAAACCATCAAGGTCATTGAAAACAAGGCAAGTCTGAGAAGCTATTACAGCCAAGAGAAGCCTAAGGGGACATGACAAATGAATGTAATGTGGTATGTTAGATGAGATTCTGGTACAGAAAAAGGATATAGGGTAAAAACTAAGGAAATCTGAATAAACTGTGGACTTGTATCAATATTGGTGACTCTGTTACCTACTCACCTGAAAAAGGGGGGAATTGTTTTAGGATGGGTCAACTTCAGCATAACTGGTTGTCTAGCACCATGTCAATTTGTGCTCCATTCATTTCTTCACTCATTTCACAGATATTGATTAGGTCCTTATTGTGAGAAACACTGGTATAGGAGGTAAAGATAGATGAGTGCTAAGACAAGACAAGGGTTTGCCCTCATGGAGCTAGCTGGGGCGACAGAGAATAAATCATAATGACATATGTAATAGATGCTATAAAGAAAAAAACATGCTGTGATTCGATGAGGGAGTGAGGTGGCGTTGCACATTCATAAAAGATCACTTATGAAAGAACCTAGAGCTACAGAAGGAGTCGGTTAAACTTTTAAGCAATGCAACAATTTTAATGTAGACTAGTCAACCCTCTTGCAAAATGCTTGCCAACCTGTTGTTAGCAATACAAGGAATATGTAGGCTAGAATACTCTAGTCCACGGAAGCCTGTCTACTTGAATGCTTGAGATACAAGTGTACTGTACTGGGTTTATTCAACCTATCAAAAATCACATGAGTGCTGGGGACACAGAGTAAAATACTACACAGCCCCTGTCCTCCCAGGGGTCAAGCTGGGGAAACCCTCCTATAAATAAATCATTACAATGAATACATGAAGGGCTAGCCGTTTGGAATCAAAATCAAAGTTAGAGCACTTCCTCACATCATGTGCTAAACAAAATTCTAAACGGATTAAAGATTTGAGTGCGAAAAAATGAAGCTATCGTGATTTCTATATTGTAGAGCTGTGAAGGGGTTTCCAAACATGGCACCAAAGGCAGAAACCATTAAAGAAAAGATTCAAAAAACGAAAACACCATGTAGTCCAAAGCAACTAATGACCACATTAAAAAGCAACAATAAATGGGCAAAATACAATACCTAAAACAAGAGTATATGATGCTAATACATAAAAGGCACTAAGAGTAAGATGGTACATGAGTGAGCGAAAGACAGTAACATGTTGTCATAGCAGAAGAAAGTAAATTACCAATAAACGTAAGATATTCAACCTCAATAACAGAAATTAAATTAAAACAGCAGTAAAATCCCATTGTTTGCCTATCAGATCGGCAAAGACGAAAAGAAAAAAGCGAAGAGCTTCCAAGAGGTGGAGAAATGCGCTCCCAACGTCGGCCTCCTCAACCTAGCAGGAGTGTGAACTGACACACGCCTTGCCAGACTTTGACGGACACAGGGGTTTCCGGGTCCCGAACCTCCGTGCCCTTTGACCCCGGAAGTTCGGCCGGACAGCAGCGTAAAGCCGGCGTGGTTCGCGACAGAGCCGTAAAGGCGCGCGGGAGCCGAGCATGGCGCTGTACGCGGCGGCGGCGGCGGTGATGGCGGGCGTGGAGAGTCGCCAGGGCTCCATCAAGGGGCTGGTGTACGCCAGCAGGTTCCAGGTAGCGGGGCTCGGGGTGCGGTTCCGAGCGGGGGTGCTAGCTTGGGCCGGTCCCCCGCCTCAGCCTGTGTCCTCTTGGCCGAACGCAGAACGTGAAGCAGCTGTACGCGCTGGTGTGCGAGACCCAGCGCTACTCTGCCGTGCTGGACGCCGTGATCGCCAGCGCCGGCCTCCTACGCGCGGAGAAGAAGCTGCGGCCGCATCTGGCCAAGGTGACGGGCAGGGTGGGGCGGGGTCACGCAGAGTCTCTCCTAACCTGGTCTCAGTTCGTACCGTCCATGGTGTGACTTTACTGAGTCGCTCTTCTGAAATGAGGATGAGCAGACCCTTTCTGAGTTATGAATTCAGGTAAGATGAAAATGCTTTAATTTCGAGCCTTCTGATGTGAAAGATTAAATAACAACAAAAGTACAAAGTAGCAATGGCAGGGAGTAAAACAAAAGGGTGATGATGACGAGGAGGGTTGGGATCCAGAGCTCTGCTGGTGAGCAGCCATGCGGAAGGATTCAGGACTGGGAAGTTAAGACGTCAGGTTCAAATCCTGATTTGCCATTAATTTTGTGTGATCTCGGACAAGGTACCTCCTTTTTATCTGTTACTGTCTGTACGGGCGGTCTGTTTAGCTCTTGCAGTTCCAACACTATGGAGTTCGAAGGCTTAGGGTTTTTTCCTCTTGGTTTCTCCAACCCCAGGTGTTAGTGTATGAGTTGTTGTTGGGAAGAGGCTTTAAAGGGGGCGGGGGCCGATGGAAGCCTCTGCTGAACCGACACCAGGCACGGCTGAAGGCTGAGTTGGCCCGGCTCAAGGTTCATCGAGGTGTGAGCCGGAATGAGGACTTGTTGGAAGTGGGATGCAGGCCTGGCCCAGGTGAGCCCAGTTGTGGGGGTGGGGGATCGCCCTCAGGCCCTCAGGAGAGGGCCATATTCCTGCTCACTCACGGCTGATTGCTTTCTAGCCTCCCAGGTGCCTCGATTTGTGCGGGTGAACACTCTCAAGACCTGCTCTGAAAATGTAATTGATTATTTCAAGAGACAAGGTTTCTCCTACCAGGGTCGGGCTTCCAGGTGAGCTTAAAACCCTGACTGGCTGCCCTTATCTAGGGAGGTGCCTGGGGGGACTGGGGAAAAGCATGGGGAGAGAGAAGTGGGATGGTGGTGAGTGCACTCGGATTTCCAGCAGTTTCTCCATTCCCTTCCAAGGCCTGTCATCCTCCATCCTTTAAGAATTGATAGTCCTGGAAGTCCCATCGATGTTCTTCTAAAGTATCCCTCAGTATCTTCTCAAAAACTTCTACTTTTCACTTGATAATTCCTGTCTCCCAGTCTAAACTTCTCTCTTGTATTCCTACCCTCAAGTTCATATCAGTGCTTCACAGACACCACAATTGCAGCATGTGTCAAACTGAATTCATCTTCCCTCCGAACTTTGCATATTTTTTGTTGTCAAATCACGTTTATTCAAAATTAAAAAGTAATCCTTCCAAAAAATATGCTTAAACAAGCTATTGGATTTTGCAGCATTTTAAAAAAATTGAGGTATAATTCCAGCTCTGCCACTTGATAGCTTTCTGAAGTGAGACATTCTCTAGGCCTGTTTCTGCATGGGTCAGATGGAGTGGACAGTCCTCCTTTACAGAGTTTAGTGAAGGCAGCTTTTATGTCAACTCTTCACATTACTAACTTCATCCATCAGGAATCAGCTCAGCACTTAGCTCCCCTGCAGCCCCCCTTCACACTCCATTCCCCCAAAGTAACCTCTCCCGAGGTGGTTTTAGCAGTAGTGGCTAGCATTTATTAAGTGCCTAATTTGTGCCATATATTTTTCCAAGTAGTTTGCATGTACTAACTCATTTAATCCTCATAACTACCATTTTCCAGAAGTGCGAACAGGCTGAGATGAAGGCACTTGCCCATGTTCCCATCCTGAAACCAGCCTGGCCTGAGAATTCATGCTCTGAACTGCTGCCTGTCTTATCAGCCTGTTTATTTCATCATAGCACTCTTAAACATTTGTTGCATGAATGAAGTTAAAGTGAGCTAACATGTAAAATGCCCTGCCTGCTGCCTGGTGTGAAAGAATTCAGAAAATGTTGAATGAATGCTTCTTATTCCCTGGCAGCCTCGAGGACCTAAGAGCCCTCAAAGGAAAGTGTTTTCTTCTGGATCCCTTGTTGCCAGAGCTGCTTGTGTTTCCTGTCCAGACAGATCTGCATGAACATCCGCTGTACCAAGCGGGTCACCTCATTCTACAAGACAAGGTAAGGAAGGTGTGTGAAGGGAAGCAGCATGTGGGAGGGGCCGACCTGGCGTCTGTTCACACCCTCACCTTGCTCTGTCTGCCAGGCTAGCTGCCTCCCAGCCATGCTGCTGGCTCCGCCCCCGGGGTCCCATGTCATTGACGCGTGTGCTGCCCCAGGCAATAAGACCAGTCACTTGGCTGCTCTTCTGAAGAACCAAGGGTGAGTGCCATGGTCAGAGGGAGGGAGTAGGAGCTGATACTGTACGTGGTGAGAAGAGATGGAGAACTCAGTATTCTGGTAGGTCTGAAGGTGGAAAGGAAGATTTTCCTTTAAATATTATAATATTTCCTTCTGGACTTAGGACAGTTCACAGTATAGCCCCAAGCTAAGCCCCAGTGTGTTGCAGGTGTGAGACGTGAATCCCTAGCTCTTGTGGTCCTTTACGTGTTATTTTCATGTGTTCTGACTTTATGTACATGTTTGTATGTTGTAGCTGTGGTCCCTTAGATGCTGCATAAACTCTTGGTTTGCTCTAACTCTGCCCGCTTCCCTAGGAAGATCTTTGCCTTTGACCTGGATGCCAAGCGGCTGGCGTCTATGGCTACATTGCTGGCTCGGGCTGGAGTCTCCTGCTGCCAGCTAGCCGAGGAGGACTTCCTGGCAGTCTCGCCCTCAGACCAGCGTTACCATCAGGTCCAGTACATCCTGCTGGATCCATCCTGTAGTGGCTCTGGTGAGATGTGGAGAAACTGTGGCTGAGAGACCCACAGATCCAGAGCAACCTGAGAGCGGAAGGGGTTGCAGTTCATTTTGGCCTTGGGTTTAGTTCTGATTCAAATCTTGTGACCCTGGGCAAATGTTCTCATCTGTAAAGTGGGGATTTCAGTGTGAAATGCGGCAGTCTGTAATGAAAACACGTTCTTCCTTAGGTATGGTGACCAGACAGCTGGAGGAACCTGGGGCAGGTACACCCAGCAAGGAGCGCTTGCATGCCCTGGCAGGCTTCCAGCAGCGAGCGCTGTGCCACGCGCTCACTTTCCCCTCCCTGCAGCGCCTCGTCTACTCCACGTGTTCGCTTTGTCAAGAGGAGAATGAAGATGTGGTACGGGATGCCCTGCAGCAGAGCGCAGGGACCTTCAGGTAGTGGCTTTCCAGCAGGCTCTTGGGGAAGGGGCTGCTCTGTTTTACAAAGTCTGTGCTACGTCTTCTCCACAGGTTAGCACCTGTGCTGCCCTCCTGGCCCCACCGCGGCCTTAGCACTTTTCCAGGGGCTGAACACTGCCTCCGGGCCTCCCCTGAGACCACGCTCACTGGTGGCTTCTTCATTGCTGTACTTGAACGGGTGGAGGTGCCAAGGTGAGTAGGGGACCTCCTGGGAAGATGCTGGAAGATTGGGACACATCTAACTTGTACTTTTCTCCTAGCTCATTCTCACAGGCCGAAACATCGGCACCGGAACTGACACCCAGCCCAGCCCCAAAGAGAAAGAAGAGGCGGCGGTGTAAAGCAGCAGCTGCTCCTAGCACTCTGTTGCCTCGCACATAGTAGGTACCCAAAGCCTTGACTTCTCATGTGGGACGAAAGGAAGACACTCGTCCTCTCAGCCTAGCCTTGGGCCCTCAGCCCCAGGCAGCAGTTGTGTTTTTTAAAAGGTTCTGTTCTTTTTATTGCTGTAGGAAGGAAACTGGTAACACTGCTTCTCCAGTTGGAAAGACAAGAGTGGATTTCCGAGTCCTCTGGGTCCTTTCCCTGGGCCGTGTTCTTGCTGGTGAGAGAAGTGCTGCCCACAAAAATAAAAGGCAGGACATGGTCTATGATAGATCACAGTTGTTTTTTATTCTTAATGACATAAGCAAGGAGAAAAATCTCACATTCACATTCATACTAAAAATTCCAACTAGCTTCACTGGAATTAAGTCTTTATTTTTAATGGAAAGTCCCAGCCTCCCGTTCCTGTCCAGTGCACGTACATGTACACACACACACTCACTCTCTCTCTCTCTCTCTCACACACACACACACCCACTCACACACTCAGGCCGTGCCAGGACACCCTCTTCAGGGGATTCCTGGACCAAGTGTCCAGCCCGTGGCACTGAGGTACTAAAACTAAGAGGGTCTAACCTCATGTAAGGTACAGGTAGAAGCTTGATTTCTAGGCCTGTGCCCCACCCCACCCCTCCAATCCTAACAGGTATTAGGGACTTGAGGGTCAGGCCCCCTCTCAGCTCCATAGCCAGTTCCATGTTCATAGAGCTCTTCTTGGGGGTGGGGAGGCACAGTCCCCTGCCACACAACATCCAACCTCAGTCACAAGGGGGAAGGGGACTACTTACATCTACGTCACATTATTTGTAAAATAAGAATTACATTTTATATAACGTCCAGAAGGAGCTCTAGTCCCTCAGGAAAGCTGCCTGGGACAGCATTTCTTCTTCACACAGGCATAACTTAACTATACAGCTAATTCCTAGTCAACAGCATTTATACTTAACCACCTCGATGAACCAAGCTTGAAGGAATTTAAAAGGCAATTTAGCTTAAATACAAAAATAAATTTTATTTTGTTAAAAAATGTTTAAATATTTTTTTTCTTTTAATTTAGACATACGCATTCATACTTCTCCCAAAGAGGATGGGCATGGCAGCAAGGCTTTTGGGCCTGGGGTATGTGGTTTGGGAACAAAGGAAGAAACGGGGAAGGGTTGGAGGCCCTGCCCTGTTGGGGGAAAAAAAAAACCACAACAGAACTTAGAAGTGTGGGTTATTAACTTAGGTTTTCTAACATGTAATATGGGTAATTAGCCTCCTGTGAGGTCAGGAAGGTGGGGGAGGAGAAAGCAGAGAGAAGAGGTCTTTGTTTCCCCTCGGCCCCATCCTCCTGGGCTGCCAGCCCTTAAAGTCAAAACACCATTTGAAAATCCAGGATTCAGCACTTGTAGCCTTAAGAGGTGCTACTTTCCACATTCAATTAGCTAAGTCCCAGAAACTTGAAACAGTTAAGTCCGGCACTACCAACATGCCGCCACTCATACAATTCAATTCTTCCTCCAAACTCGATTCAAAGAGCATCAGATAGACATGAGCATCAGACAAGTAACACAGGACAAGGCTTTAAACATAACAATCCTGGAGAGGCAGACGTGCTCAATGAGCCGGCGGGGAGGGTGGGCCAGGCGGCAGCTGAAAGCGGTGGTGGGCATCCTGCCTGCTCCACGAGCTTCCCTCCCTGGGGTGAGGGGTCACCCCTAGATCTGCCAGGCTAACAGTCTTGAGCCACCAAGCTTTTAGGGGTCAAATTGGCAGAGTTAGGGATGAAACACTGACTCAGAGTTGGCAGGAGGAAGTGGAACAGTGGGAGCAGCACCCACTGGGGTCTCCAAGGCAAAGCTAGATTTGAAGATCATTTTAAAAAGGAATATCCTGCAAGGAACCAGTGAGGGACAAAGCAGCAAGGAATGTGGACATGGTCCCCTAAAGGGACCAGAAAACTGCCATTTATAGCCAAGCAAGGTGAAGCTTTAGGGGATAATCCAGTTCCCCCAGTCCCATCAAATGCATACTAGAGGTGCAGGTGGGCAGGGCTCTGCCTGCCACCCTCCAGGAGAG